TATGATCATCAAATAAAAGAACTACAGCGAAGTTGTACAAGGAAGTATGAACATATACCACCATCAGCTTTATGTATGTCGTTAAATCTATGACTGCACTCATCTTGATGTAAAATGTTCGGCTTTCAGGTTTGGATACAACTTTTAATATTGGTCGATTTTTTGTTACGCCCACCACATTTAGAAATTCAGCATTACAACTTCGTCGTACAAAAAAGTCACTGTTCATATGGGACCAACGATGATTCATTATGGAAATAAATCGGAATGTTATGAACAATTGTTAAATTATATTAAAGAACAAATGAATGGTCAATATCCGCTTATAATTGGGAGTGACACGGCATCAGAAATAACAAAAGCTGTGTTCGGTAAGAGCAAGTATAACTCTCCTGGTCTGAAAAAATAATCTGATCCTTTTTAGATTTGAATATGATAGTAGAATCTGGTCAAGTAAATCTCAATCAGAACGAGCACAAATAATACGCGATTATTATGCTTATCAGCTACCTATCCGGCAACCAACGACTGATTTTAATATTACAGATACTGCAGGACGAAAACCTGGGAAGAAAAGTATTCGTGGGACAACAACAACCATAAGATCATCAAGAAATAAAAAAAAAGTGCTTTAAATATGTAATTATTAAACATATACATTATGGGAAACTCTCAAGAAAAAAGGTCGCTGCTAATAAAAAAATTGAAGAACAATGGGTTATATATTTTGAGGCTGAAGTTTTGTAGAGAATTTCACGATCGTTCTTCTGCTGTACTTTATGAATCACTTTTATTGAGAAAAAAAAATATTTTTGATTATACAGGAGGATCATACCCCAAAGTTCAGTGGTCCGACTACCTCTGCTTTCATCAGATTTCCTATGGATTCAAAAGTGATCTAATATGCTCAAAAAAGGATGGCGATTATTCTGGCATATTATTTTGGGTGTTTGCGTCACTTTTTTTGGGTGTTAGTGGGTGTTCGTAATGGAAAAGCCCTAAAGAATCCTCTTTGAAATAAATTTTTTCGGTGTTTGTTTATTCACAAAGAACAGGTCTATCGACCGGCTATCTCGGATTTCAATTTGGGGGTGTTAGCGTATTTTAGTAATACCCATTCGAGATGATGTTTCTTCTTGTAACTGCAGTGGTTGGTCTTGCTGCTGGTTTCCTGGTGATGGTGTGACAAAAACTGATGTAGCTCAAAAAATGGGTGTTCGTCGGTGGTGCTGTGAGGGGTGAGGGTGATTGACAATGATTAATAAATCGAAGAAGAAAAGAATCAAAGTGGAAAAAACAACAATAAAATCTAACTCTGGCTTTGGGATACGCGATTACATTCAACAGATTACCAGTGGCCAGCTCCGATACCTCCTAGCCCAAACTGAAAGTGTCACATTCGTCATCGGCACCAACGACATTGCAGGGAACCTCGCCAACAACGTCATAAAATGGGTAAGTGAGCTTGTGACTACTTTGCGCCGGTATTACCCAACAATAGGTAGCATCTCGTTCGTCAAGATCATATACAGAACAAAAAACACTCGTTTTCACAATTTTTCGCAAAAGACTTTAAACGAGGAAATCCAAGCATACAACCAAAAAGTAGATGACCTAGCAACATCGCTAAATTTTAAAACGCTGTCCTTTGATCTTGACAAACGAACGCTAGGCGACGGTCTCCATCCCAACTTTGAAGGGCGCCAGCTCATTCTCCGAACCTTTCATAACTTTTCTCGCACATATACACTCACTGTTGTAGAAGAAGACCCTTTTCGAGACGCATACCCCGAGAATACTGCTTCTCTGTTTCCGCACAATTTTCTGCCCGAAATCGCACTTATCAACATACCTCCACCATTAGAGATAGTCGATCCCGCCACTCTGTTTCACCTCCAAAAACTCCGTTTTCTAAAAGAACACTTCTCTCTGAAACTTGATCGTTGGTACGAATATGTTATCGGTGCAAATCCTGAAGAATCTGAATCTGAACCCGAACCGCAAACGCCTAATCTGATTGATATGGAGGGAGATGAAGACATACCGAAAACTCCTATTGAGGATCCATTTCCAGGACGCTTTCCAGTACTTGCTACAGAAGTTTTTAATCACTTCACGAAAGAAAACATCCCATTCGACTGTCAGAATCTAAAAACCGAGTACAACAAAATTTTCGATGTTTTCCGCATGCTATCGCACACGCTCACACTCTCACAATACTCGACTTGACAGAAAGACGTGACGAATTAACACAGCCAAAGACCTAATCTTTGAAGAACCGCCACCGCAAGAAAAAGTAGATGGTCTAATAACTATTCTCGACACCTGGCAAACAAAAATCATTGATCCTTTTCTAGAGTCTCTACGCACTGTCAATGAGAAACGTCTTAGCAACCCAGTACTAGATCATGCGCTGAAAAAACACCGTGGCCTCTTGATGACGATCCCTCGGACAGAAGACGAAGATGAGAATATTCGACTAATACTCGACTTGACAGAAAGACGTGACGAATTAAAAGCGCAGTTAGTAAAACTCGAAGCCCGGCTCAATTTTAAGGCGCCACCACCATCTCTGAATGCTTTTGACATTACACTAAAAACACACTTACCCACCGAGTGTCCTGCAGTTTTTCCCATTATGGAGCGCTGGAATAACACCTTACGACAAACAAAGTTGACTTTAAACGAGTGTATGATTTTAACCAAAAACCTCGAGATAGAAGCAATTGAAAGAGAAATTCATAACGTTCACCAAAAACTGATACCCCCCGTTAATCCCCTTTTTCTTGTGCATATAGATATTATCCTTCCAAATCTTTCAAAGAGGAACGAACAAAAAACGCTCAAAAAAGTTCATTTTTTAGAGAAACGTGCAGAAAAGCATCATCCACCATAAGTTGACCATAGTTGATTCTTTTGCTGATCAAGTAGCATTTGAGCTGAGAGAGCAAATCTCCAAGCAACATGCTGATCCACATCTTTCCGAAGCTATCAGCACCCTCCAGAAACAACAGTCTCAGGATAGAGTCGTATTTCGGAGAACTGACAAATCAAAAATATTTCACTTAGATACCCGTGCTGCATACCAAACCAAGTCAGATGCCTATATGGAGAAAACTAATGCGTATGAGAAAATCCCTGAGAACCCTCTCCAACGCACTATTTCTGAATTAGACGAGCTCTTGAGACTATTTCTTCGACAGAAACGTGTCACCCAGAGCCAGTATAAGAAACTCAAACCCTCTCTAGATGAGTGTGAGCTCCCACATCTATATTACAATCCGAAAGACCACAAAATTGGTGAGCCTCTGCGTCCAATAGTTGCCGGAATTAAATCACCTACAGCCAAACTTTCTTGACCAGAAACTCCGTCCCATCTTTAATAAAGCTACTGCACACTATACGTTAGAAAACTCTCTCAAGTTCCTAGATCATCTTGACAGATACACTGTATCCCCGACGACCCGACAGTTCCGCTTTGACATTACTGACTTATACACTATGATCCCTCAAAACCAGTCCGTTTCCGTAGTTTGTCGACTTCTTTCAAAAACAAAAAATTACAAAATAGACGGTATTGCGATCGACACCATTGCTAGATTGTTACGTTTCATACTCAACAATGCATTTTTCGCATTAGGCAAAAAAATATTACAAGCAAATTAAAGGTGGTGCG